GCCTGGAATTGAACTGCTGGTTTTGTCTGGTCAGAGGAGAACTGGCCCCCCGACTGAGCCTGGTTTCTCCCAAGGTTTTTTCTCCATTCTGTCACCGATGGAGTTTTGGTTCCTTGCCGCTGTCGCCTCTGGCTTGCTTAGTTGGGGACACTTCATTTCTAGCGATATCGTTGACTTGATTGCAAATATACTATTTAAACTGAACTGAGCTGAATGAAGACATCACTGATTCAATGATGAACTGTCTTTAACTGGAAAATTAGTGTTTACTATTGTCATTTTGCATTATTGACACACTATTTTCCTAATTAATGCTGTTCAGTTGCTTTGACACAATCTGTATTGTTAAAAGCGCTATATAAATAAAGGTGACTTGACTTGACTTGACTTCTGAAATGATGGCTACGCCCCTGGGCGAACTAATCCTTTAATGATACTAAACAGACTAAAACCTGTTGGGCAAATGTTTGCTGAGATGTGTGCGTCAGGTACAATAAATTATCTTCTGAGGAACAGGTCAAAACACTGGAACGTTCAAGCTTCATTGTACATCTGGAGAAAATCGATATAGACTAAACAGACTGAACCGGAAGTCCCGCACATCCAGAAAATAACTTCCACACTGCAAACATAAGGTGGATAAATAAAAGCATCGAAATGCTTCAAAATCTGGATGGGTCTACCATAACGTTGTACAAAACACTTTTCTTTTTCTTTTTCTTTTTTACACAAGCTTGGCATTTGTTCTTAGTTCAGTGTAAAGATGAGTAATGAATTAAGTTGACTGAGGAATGATGGAATTCAGAAATCAGGAACACTGACAACAACCGCAACAATGCTTCGTAAAATGTCATATTTTTCATATTTAATATAACTGTGCAAAGGTTTGATTTTAACTGTTTCTATCTGTGCACTTATTCATCTACACTATAAGAAATAAATACATAAACAAATAAATAAATAAAAGCACTGGCAGCTCCATTCATTTTAATATTTTATTCAACTATGTGCAAGGGTTTGATTTTAATTCTGAATGATTATTTTTATTTTGCTCACATTTTTATGTATTTTTATCGGTGCTGTTTTTTTTTTTTGTTTTTTTTTTATCTGTACTCTATTTTTATTTTTTTTTATCTTTTGCATTTTTATTTATATATAAATTTTTTTTATTTGTTCTGTTTTATTTTAACTTATTTATCCGTGCCGGTTTTTTTTTTTTTATCTGTGCACTTGTTCATTTGCACTAGATGAATACATAAAATAACAAATAAATAAATAAAAGTACTAGCAGCTCATTACCAGGACATTATCCGTTAATTTTTCGCCGTTAATTTCTGTTAACCCTAAAACACAACGCAATAAAATGCACAATTCGGGTTTAAAAACGCCTGTAAAAAATAAATATGGGTTAAAAAATAAATTCCTTCAAATTTATACAGAACTGTGCCCTATATTTATGGATTTTCTTGGAGTCTTGCTGTTTTTTTTTATCTGTGCACATTTCTTCATATCCCCTTGCGGAGACTCCAACATGCTTTGCTCTGTCGTTCTGGAGGAAAGTACTAATTTAAATAAATAACATCCGCCCAGTGGTGAGTTCTGAAACAAAGAAGAAATACTAGATAAGTAAAGTTTAATGACAAACTTGACCAAAGCCTCGTCTTGAACTTTCTTGAGCTTGAACTTTCAAGGTTTTACTCAGAAAATTCAGTGAAAGTCAGAAAGATACTGCTAAGAAACCACATCAAACCCAGTTAGACTTTAGATAGATAGATAGATAGATAGATAGATAGATAGATATCTTCAACTTATTCACAACTGAAGTTCTCAATCACAACATTGCATCAATGCAAAAGTTTTCACTCCCTAAATGGAATCTATCAGTGTTTGGTCTCATTTAGAAGTCTGCTACAGGAATTCTGTAAGTCGGATCAGTTAGCAACAAAACTCAGCTCAGCCTGAAGGTCTCTGCCAAATTTGGTGGTTGCAGCTTGAAATCTCAAGGAGGTGTTACTCTTGAAATTTAGGGTGTCAGGGGACGTGGAAGAGTAACACATTTAAATAGGAAAACAGTATTATGTCTTTGTCATGCCTACATAATAATACACTGTCAGAAACATCTCTAACCACACGAATGCACAAGAATAAGACATATGCTTGTCTTCACCTGTTGGGCGGTTCTCCTCAGCATCCAGGCCACCCTCATCACTGGCTTCTTCTACTGAAGCTCCTGCTGGGTCGCTCAGATCTTCAGACACCAGCGTAGGGCTCTTCAGCTCGGAGACGCCGCTGTTCATCTTCAGCTGCAAATCTTTGACTCCACAGACTGAGATGTCTTCATCCTCAGAGATCTCCAGCTGCACGTGCATCTCTCCTGGACTGCAGTGACTGACGGAGAAGCTCGTAGATGGCATCGGTGATCTCAAACTCCAGCGGCACATCTTTATCATCCAATGCAAAGCAACTGTCACCGGAGTAGAAGGTGCCGTTGAGGTAAACCTCCAGACGCACCTCTCTGGCCTCGATAGACATTGTGTCTGGTGTTATCATACTGACAGTATCTCAGTTTAAACTGTATCTGATACACTCTGCACAAATTCAATATATCTATACAGACTGTAATCAGAGACTTCCACTCAGACTCCAGTCTCTGCTCCGAATATCACTCAACTACAGAGACTCTGCGAGGCCTTTTACACTGGCTCTCTGTGACGTCATCAAGCAGTGGCGCGTGACGTTGTCGTTCCAAAGTTGCCATGGAAACGGAATGTTTACCAACAATAGTTTGTTTCCTCTGATTCGCTCATTATCTGTGCAGTTTTATGCAGTTTTTAAGCTATAAGTTTATGTCGGCATTTGCTGTGATTCTTCTCCAGCGCCACAGCATGAAAAAAAAATCACATTTACCAGGTTTGTGAATGCAGTTTTGGAGTCTGAACGCGACGATTCACGAACAAATTACTCGTTTGAACAGTTTCTTTTTATGATTCATTTCTCACGCTGCTGGTTTGAATCAGTCGGTCGAATCCTTCACTGAATGAACTACTTTGTGCATACCGAAGACTATAGTGAAACATCAATTATGGTCATTTCTGACTACCTTTACGTTTAGTCATTTAGCAGATGCTTTTATCCAATGAGGACAATAGAAGCAATCAAAATCATCAACAAAAGAGCAATGATGTGCAAGTGCTATAACAAGTCTCAGTTAGCTTAACGCAGTGCACATAGCAAGTTTTTTTTTTTTTAAATATATAATAAATAAAAAGAATACAGATAGAATAGAAAAAGAAAAGAGCATAGAATAGAGTGTTAGAGGCCTTTTTTGCTTTTTGTTAATTGTATAATAAATAAAAATAAAACAAATAGACCGAATACAAACAGAATAGAGAAGCTAGTGTAAGTTTTTTTTTTAAAGAAAACAAGCAGTTAGTAAATGAATAGAGTGCAAGTCTGTTAAAGAATAGAATTAGAATAGAGAGTGCTAGATATCTTTATTCTAAGATTACATTGGGACTGTATTTACATAAATGGCTGCGCATATTCTGTCTCTCAAACCCGAAGAGAAGAAACTAACTGAACTGCCTCAAGAAATGCGGAGTAGGCTAATACTGCTCTACCACTGGGCCATATATACATATATCATATGTATCATATACACGCCAACAAACTGCGTATTACCGTATTGACCCGAATATAAGACGATGTTTTTTTCTTGGAAATACATCTGAAAAAACGCGGTCGTCTTATATTCAGGG